GTATCTGTTGAAATTCTTCTAGAGCGGTCTGTGAGACCTCACCTCCCTCTCAGTGTTACAATTTTCGGCAGTAGTGAACACATGGCTCTGAAGTTAGGTCCGCGGAGATTCATTTATCCTTCTGATCCGCGTTATGCAGAAGAACTGAAAAAAATTCTAGACGAAGTTGGAAGTGATTTTAGTGAAGAAGATGACTGTGAAGAAAATTTCTGCGAAAGGTGCCCACTCAACAGACTCTGAATTTTCTGCAGACAGCAATGATTTCTCTGATCTAGAAACAACTAATTCCGTAAAATACTACTATGGAAAAAATCGGTTCAAATGGTCATCCGTTGAACCAAATCGAAAAGTTAGAAGGCCAGCTCACAATATCGTAAGACTTCCTGGACTAAGACCTTACGGAAAAATTGATAATTCAGATCCAAAAAATGTATGGCAACTACTTTTTACTGACGAACTTTTAAGCATAATTGTGAAATGGACAAATCTAAAAATTGAAAGAAAAATAAAAAATATATGTGGTCCGATTAAAGGTGAAATTAACTACACCTGTGTTGATGAACTGAGAGAGCTCTTTTAGGTTTACTTATTTACACATCAGTCTTCAAATCCAATCATGAAGATACTGAATGTTTATTTGCCACGGATGGAGCTGGTCGCGATATTTTTCGTGCAGTTATGTCAATGAAACGTTTTAAATTTTTACTTTCAAATTTGCGATTTGATAACCCAGATGATAAGGAAGAACGAAAGAAATCTGATCCGGCAGCACTTATTTCTGAAGTGATGAATTTATTCATTTATAACTCCCAGAAAGCGTACACATTAGGCACTTGCGTCTGCATTGATGAAATGCTTGTTGGATTCAGAGGAAAGTGTCGCTTTAAAATGTATATGCCCCAAAAGCCTGTGAAATATGGATTAAAAGTTATGTGTTTGACTGATGCCCGGAATAATTATGCTTACAATGCATATCTTTATTGTGGAAAAGACTCTGATGGAATTAGCGTAGAAGAGAGAGTTGGAAAAAATTCAGCAAACCAAGTCAAGCTGTTCTGCGTTTGAGCAAACCAATTTTTAATACGAACAGGAATGTAACAGCAGACAATTGGTTTTCTTTCATAGAACTTACCACAGAATTGTTGAAAAAAATGGACTGACATACGTTGGAACTGTTTTAAAAAAATAAAAAAGAAATTCAGAAAGATTTTCTTCCATGTAAGTCAAGAAAAGAGAATTCAACATTGTATGGATTTACTAAGGACATATCCTTGATTTCATTTGTTCCAAAGAAAAGGCGAGCAGTGGTTTTGATGTCATCATTGCATCATTCGATAGATAGAAACAGACTCGGAAACACAGAAACCTGAAATAATTGCTTTTTATAACAGAACCAAAGGTGGTGTTGATGCTTTAGATGAAAAATGTTCTGTCCATTCCTGTAGTAGGAGAACAACGCGTTGGCCTATGGCTCTTTTCTACCGGTTAGTAGATATGAGTACAGTAAACGCATACATTTTGCACCAAGGTTATAACCAAAACCCTGTTATGACCAGAATGGTGTTTTTGAAAGAATTAGCGAGAGAATTAGTCCAACCACTACTACACACGAGAGTGAAAAATCCAAGAATAAATCGAGAATTGCGCCTGACGATAAAGCGGATTTTAGGAAAAGAAGCTGAGTCTAAGGATGTGGAGCAGTGCACAAAAGAAGCAAAATTAAAATCAAGGAAAACATGTCGTCTGTGCCCCCCAAGCAAGAAAAGAAAGACAGCATATTTATGTTTATCTTGCCAAGACCCTGTTTGTTTGGAATGCACGCAAAAGTTATGCAATGAATGTGCTAAAGAAGACGAAAACTAAATTGTTTACTATCAGAAAATCAGTGAGATACTGATATTTCAGGTACTGTCAAAATTTTTCTGTATTGTGCTACATACAATTTTCTCCGGTTAAAATTTGCTTTAAATATTAAATAATATAGATAAAATAGTTAATTCAAAATAGATGCATTCTTATTTTTAGTTTTATAGAATTTAGTGCAGCATATGATTTTCATCGAAAAATTTAAGGCTATGGGGAAATTTTCTGGGAAAAATTTAATTTCACTTTAAAGTGTAAAAACATATTTTCTTTTCAGAGTAAAATGTTCAAAGAACATCTAAGTGAAATATCATGATGATATTTTAATTAGACGATTTTTAAAAATTTATTATAATGCGCGGTCTCTGAGACCGCACGTCCCCTGTTATGTTCAACTTTTTCACCTCCCCTGTTACGGGTTAAAGAAAGCAAAATCTGCAACTGTTTATAACATTTGTACGAAAACTGATTAAAGTGTCTTTTTGTTTCTTAACGATGCAAGTAAAAAATTTTTTATGTGAAGGTTTTTTTGTTGCATGCATTTAAATTAGTTACCATTTAAGTTAATTCATTATTGAAAACTATATTTTTATCATTTAAAAAGTCTTTTTAACATTGTGAAAAATCTCCCGATTTCTTTAAAAAAAATCTCCTGATTTTTGAGTGTCATAGGTTGGTAGGGTGCTGTGGTATTATCTACAAAGAGTATCTAGAAAATGGTAAAGCTCTCAATAGTAAGATATATAATGAGATGCTAGTCCGTGTTGACGTTGCTATCAAGAAAAAATGTCAAACTGAGTTCTGCTTCAAAAAGATAATGTGTCATCAAGATAATGCAAGACTACATGTGTCTGCATTCACCAGTGGACTCTGTAGGGACTCGAATGGGATCTTTTGCCACACTTACCATATAGCCCTGACATCACTCCTTCAGACTTCTACCTTTTTTTTACACCTGCAGCATCATCTTGCTGTTGCTCTCTTCCATTCTGCACAGGATGTCTAAAATAAGGTTGATCTGTTTTTGGCCACCAAGTTTCTGGGCCGAAGATTTTAAAAAACTGCCAAAACCTTGGCAGAAAATCATAGATTTGGGTTATGATTACTATCCACACTAAACATACTGCTTTCATAATATTTTTTTTCTTCTAATTTTATTAAGAACTTTTTTTGGTGGAAAACTTTCGTTTCAACCAGATACTGTTTCTTTTGCTTACATTTCACATTAATGTAATTGTAGTAAATATGAAAAATGTGCTGCATTTAGCGTCATTGTTAAAAATTCACGGATATATCTAGTAGCATGGCTAGTACTTTTATAGACATTCTTTGTAAATAGGATTAAAATTTTAATTTTTTTTTTTTTTTTTTTTTTTTTTTTCCTTAAGCTTGTGAAATTACTGAATCATTACTTTTGAGATGGATAATGGATGTTTGCAGATCGTGTTACAAACATCAGTACATTACCAGTTAGACTAGTCCCATTAAACATAAAATGCTAGAAGGAACATCAAAATATATCTAGAATTTTTCATAATTTTTGTGATTGCCATTTATTGAGCTGTAAGTATTCTGTATGGATATGCTTGCTAGATTTCTTTAAAGCTCTTGTAACAGCCACATTACAGAATAATTAAAAATATATATTTCATAGTTTATTGGTTAAATAATGCTACTGTAGAACTTATGTTGCATATCAGCCTCATCAATCAGTATGTGTGAAAAATGTGCAGTACTTCTCGTCTTCGTTAAAAACTCTTGAATATTTCTAGAAGCATTGCTTGTGCATTTTCAGATATCTCTAACCTTTAAATATGACTAAAGAGAATTTCCAAAGTTTTACTCTAAGATGTCAAAGAAATTCATCCCAGATTTAATATTGGATAATATAGAACTATTTATGTAAAGAATACTGATGCATATTTTGACTTTTATAAGATATTTGTCAGTTTTACTTGCAACTAGATGACCAAGAGGAAAATATCACCAAGTTTTGATATTATGTCAAAAAGGGGTAGCGTGCTTTTAAAGTTTAAAATAAATTGTTTTTTAAATTATGTATTTTAAAAATTACAAATTACATTTAAAAGAAAAGTTGCAATTTATTTTTCAGGTAGCCATAAATAGGCAATAATAACTCACTGTTGTCAGGAATACGAATTTTGAGGCAGTAAAACCAAAATGTTAGCATGAAGGCTTTTTTATTTTTTTTCCTCAGGCAGTTTCTCATGCTACATTTCCAATACGGCTTTCGCTGTGGTATAAATAATTTCATTACCTTTTTTTTTTCTTGCAAATTCAAATGTGGAGTAAAATATCCCATTTTTACTAGAGTACTCTAACTTCATTTTACTTAATGGTAAATTGAAAATTTTCGCCATTTTAAATACTACCTTTAAAATAAATAAATAAATTTAAAAAAAACAGTTTTAGAATCTTTATTACTTGAACCTTTGTATAAATATTACTGCTGTTCAAATATCCAGACAGTTGTTTGTTTAAAAGAAGCAGAATACAGTGCTGGAAATAATTATCTCATCTATTCAATGAGTGCTGAATGTATAAACATATAACTGATAAGAATAAATTTGAGGAGCTGCCTTTTCTTCATGTTTGGTTATTATTGTAACCAATCTACCATTCTCATGTACTCATGTACTACCATTCTCTTAGGAAATGTTCTACCAGTGACTGAATGGTTAAGACTCCTGAATACTGATAATTCCACCTGAGTTTGAACCCAGGTGAATGGGCCAGTTGTATGATTGGTTTCTGTGGTATTTCCAATGTGTAACATGAATACAAGCCAGTTTTCCCCTAAAAAATCCTCCACAAAGGCATACCTTCCTTTATATAGATAGGCCTCATGTGCTTTGCCATGCTCAGATAACCTAACCTTTCTTAAGAAATTTTATCATTCAGTTTTAAAATTTGTTAGTCAGGAGATATATATTTATATTAATTAATGGATTTTTTAATTTTGAATGATAGCAATGCATAGCCATTAAATCTTAATTTTTTCAAATCAGTGGATTATTTTATGTACCAAAGAGCCTTTTTTAACTCCATTCTGAGTAAAGTATTTAACAACTGAATCAAAGCAGTTTATTATGTAATGTTTATCCCCCTTCTCCCCCCTTTTTTTAATGTGTAAGTTTGGGTTCAAAATAAACCTACCTGTCTTTTAGTTTGTTATGGAAGGCCACATGGATTATGTTCATTGTGTGGATCTGGGAAACAGCAGTCAAGAGTGCTTATCTGGAAGTGAAGATGGTACTGTTAGAATGTGGGGTATGTATGCAGTTTACATTTGTTTCTAGATTTTAAGGAAAGTATTATTTTGTATATTTTTAATGGAATAGCTTTGAATAAGTAAAAGAAATTACAAGATTTTAAATGATGATGGTGTCATGATAGTGTCAGTAATTAATGGTATGAGATTAAAAAAAAAAAAATTTTTTTTTAATATATATTTTATGAGTTCTCTTCATTACAAAATGCAGGTGCTATAGGAACTTATTGTTACTTATTTTGATTCAATTTTACCATGCTACAGTGTCTAAAGTCACATTAGGGAAATAATCGTAGCTCTTGTTCCAGTCACATGCTGGCACATAGTCATAAAATTCTTTGGTTAAAGAATTAACAATCAGTGTGATACACTTAATCATAATTTATTATGTCTCTAATTATATTTCTTATACTACTTCTGTGTCAGGTCAATAACTATCAATGCAATCTCGTGGATGGCAGTGAAGGTGTTAATATGGTATTTGGACAAGTGGAAGGGATGGGATGATCCCACTCATTACCCTGTACCATCACCAGATCTGTCCTCCCTGGATTTCTAATTTATGGGATCACATGAAAAATTTGGCGTACAATACACCTGCGGATAGTTACGAGAATCTTATCACCCAAATCTGCCAACTTGCCTAACTGTCTCTGAGAAACACCAAGAATATTTCAAAATGTGCAGGATCCCATGCTTTGCTGATGTTAAGCATATATTGCAGCTAATGAACAAAACTCTAGCATTTTCTATGTCCTCTCTTAATATCACATTTGTTATGTTCTGATGAATGTAATATTCTCCACTTATGTATTGTTCTTTTATGTCTCATATTTTCTATGCTCTTGCACATGACAGTAACATTTCTAATATTTCATTGCTGTTTGATTCCAATTCATTTTTTATTAACCAGCATTTCACAGAAGTGTGTACATGTAGTAGTAAATAAACCTGCATAACTTAGTTTGTAATTTGTTAGCATTCTGTGTATTTGTTGCAAGTATTGCAAACTGAAAATTTTCTGCAATTTTTATTATTTTATTGAAATTTATGCTATTTTCTAGATGCTAGAAAAGGTGGAAATGCTGTTCATGTCATCGAACCTTACAAACATAATGTAAGAAATGTTGCCCATATTTTTGAATTTTTTAAAATAAATGTACTTGTTTTTCATCTTAAGAAAGTTTTTCATTCTCTTTTTTTTTTTTTTTATTATTATTATTTATTTATTTATTTATTTATTTATTTATTTTACTTTTTACTTTTGCAGCTTTCTAGCAGACCTGAACTTGGAAAATGGATTGGATGTTTAGCATTTGATTCTTCTGATGACTGGTTGGTAAGTTGTGTCCATGAATAATTATATCTATTGATGTGATTTTAAGGATAAATTAACTAGTAAGGAAGAAATATCCATATATTCTATGAAATGTTTTGCAGAGTTCTGTATAGTTTCCACAATTTCATTAAACAAAGTTTTTAGTGTTTATATTGTTTGTTAGTGATTTGTTCACATATATGCAGAGAGTACAATTTTGCTTGTCATCTGATGTATATTGTATGACTAAATATTGTTGCGGTTTTTGATTTTCTGAGTTTAATTAATGTGTGAGAAATAGCTGATATGCAGATTTGTAAAATTCAGTTATATTGTTTTATTGCTTCAAAATTTGATGCAGTGATAATAATTGATGTGAACTTGTAATAATACCAATTTTCTTTGTATGATTGCCTTATTAGTATAATTGGAAATAAATTTCTTCTTTCCATAATTGTCAAATGAGATAAGTAGCCTATATTATTTTAAACATAAATATATATCAGCACTTATCATAATCAGTTAAAGCAATTTTTAAGAAATATTTTAAACTGTTTTCTGTTATTATTAAGCAAACAATCTATATCTTTATAAAAGTATTTGTTATATTCACATTCATTTTTGTAAAATCATATTTGGAAAATTCAGTGAAAATTTATAAACATAATTATTGAAAATCTTCATAAAAATAAGAATTTTTCATAATTTAGCAGTACTTAAAAAGAGTTATTAAAGATAAAAAGTGATTAATTAAAAAATATTTACTAAACATAATTTATTGTTTAATGTTGTAGTATGTCACATTTTTAATCACATGTTTCTTTTCTTAATACACATGTTTAATTGTAAATATTTTAAATTAAAAACCTTTGATTGTAGGTATGTGGTGGTGCTCCTTCTCTCTGTGTGTGGCATATTCGTTCACTTTCTCCTTCAACAAAAATGCAGAAACCTCATATGACTTCTAATGTTGTTCATTTTTATGATGATATGGTAAACATGGATTCTGAGCATTTGTAGTTTTTAATATAGTATGCTGTTGAAATTTTACATAACATACAGATTTAAACTTTAAGCTCATACATACTTCAACCTGAATTAATTTTGTTCTTATGTTATTTTTAATGATTTTCATAGTTCTTAATCTGTTACACAATATCATAAGCATCATAGGAGAATATTTGGGATATTAAAGTTTTTTAAAACATGTTTTTTGGAGACAATAAATACATTATTTTAATGCAAAATTTGGGTAAGGGTGCTAGTTACTGCCAAATTAGTTTAACAAGTATTTTGTTTTTTACGTTGGCCTACACCTCTTCCATACTTTTGTTTTAATGCTTGATTAACATGCGGGCAACTAAAATAACAAGAATTAAGTAAAATGTTTTTATGAGAATACCACCATAATTTATATTAAGTTTTTAATCTACTAATGGATAAATATATCAAACATTCATTTTTCATACAAGTATATCAAATAATACTAGCAGTATACTTGTTCTTTGTGCAGGTGAAGTGCAATCTATTTTCAAAAGACTTATAAAGTGTTGAAAAGTCCAAAGAAATAAGAATATGAATAAAAGCACTGCATCTGTGCTAAGAGAAATTCTTTCTATAGTGCACAGCAGCAAAACATGTGCTATTGTACTTTTTCCAAGCAAAGTCATGTCATCAGTGAATTAATATATTTCTGCTGTACAGAATGGAATTTATGAAATTGTAGTGTAATATTGTAAAAGTTTATGAATATTGCCTGATTTAGAAGTTTCCAAATCATCATGATATTTAAAAAAAGCTACTGTTCCCTGAAGACCATGTTTTATAATGTGAAAATTTCAAGAAAGTGTGCATGATAGAATTGCTTATCATGATTTTAAAATATTGAAGAATATCTTTTAAAATTATGCCAGAACTTTTCAAAAGCAGTGCTTCAATATTATTTTTGCCTTGTTAAATTTTTACTCTATCATGTTCTTTAAGGTATGATGGTCTGTAGCCTGTATTAGGGCTTGATTGTAACTTTTTTTTTTTTTTCTTTGAAATCTGGAATTTTCAGATTTGTGAAATGTGAATTTGTTATCTTTCTTAAATTTTGTTTTACAACAAATGTATCATTCAGAGATTACATAAATTTAAAAGTCTAAGACACTTGTCATATACAAAAACACAAGAAACTGGTATTCTAAACTTTTAGGCTAAAGTATTCTTGTTAGGACGAGATAAAAACAGAAATTTTTACCCTGCGTTCTCCAAAACATTAAATTTTCTTCTCTGGTCGCAACACTGAAAGTTGATTTAATTATATGGGTGATGTTATGACAGACTGTAGAAGATCCTTGAACACTAATAGCCTAGATGCTAGCTTAATTAACTGACTGAATCAGTCTGAATGAAACATAAATGTAATAGATTTCAAAATGAATGGATGGATGAATATTTCAAAATGAAGGAATGAATGTTTGAAAGCGAAACATAATGTAATAATAATAATAAAATGTAAGAAATTAAATTAAAAAATACTTATATAATTAAATATAATGTATAATAAATGAAACATAATGTAAAATAGTATGACAATTTTGGGTCAGAAAACTCCTTTCAACACCTTATTTTCAAACATTTTAGAAATAATTTTGTGAATAGTTAGACAGGTTATCTAAATTCTCAACATTCCATGAATTGTTCTCTTCCCGCTAAGAGTTCAAAATCTCCTAATCCTATTAATAGGGATGCTTCGGATTCTAACGCTAAGAATTAAGTGACTAGGTATTGTATCCAACAAAATGTCTTGCAGATTGTACTATAATTGTTAGGGAACTATACATGCATATAATTTAAAAGAAAAAGTTATTAAAAAGACTTTCAAAACTAAAATCCAGCTTTAAAGTAGCTGAGATTGTTAAATAAATTTAAATAAGCTAAATTAATAAGTAAAATAATAATAAATTAATAATTAAAATAGCTTCCTGTAGGAAGTTTTGTTAAATCTTGGTCAGACTCTATCACTGCCATGTTGTACGGAAAATTTAAATTCTTTTTTTCTTTATTCCACAACTTTTCAGCCTGCATTACTGATACTCTTAAGTAACTTTTTTTGTCTTCCATTTTCAACATTTTTTTAGTTTGTGAAAAGTGTTTTGTGCTCCAATTCTTAGGCATGGAAATATCTCTCCAATTATAACCTCATTACACTTTCCATAACGTAACCCTATATCTGTTTCTTCAATGCTTATTATTTTTCAGTATAAGTATGGCTAGATTATTCCTCTACAATTTAATTTTTGTTATTTTCATATTCTATTCCATATACTCCTTGTATAGCTTTTTGAGAATTTTTAATATATGATTATGTGTGCTGTGCTTTAACTCGCAGCCAGATTTTTAATGATTAACATTTTAATACTTTTGAAGGTGCCCTAAAGGATAGGGGTGTTGTTCTTGATTTTCAGAGGAATTTCAGAGATTTCTTTTATTTCTTATGCTGTTTTTTTTTTTTTTTTTTTTTTTTCCCTCATAAATTCAGACTTGGCAATTTTTGCATTTCACATTTTAACTTAAAATGTTTTTCACATTTTGTTATTTGATTTAACAAAATTCCTCAATAGTATCCATTTATCTTATTTAAATTTATATATAGAGAGAGATAAAGAGTCCCATAATTTCCAGAACCTCTCCAAAAAGTAACTTAGCTATTATTGCTTAAAATATTAAGAAACCAAAAAAGTAAATAACTTTTAGAAATGATATATGAATTCTTCACAGTGATATTGTTTGAAAATAGTGTAAGCATATATTTATGCATTTAAAATTCATACTCTGAATTATTTTAGGTTATATCAAGTTTTTATATTTCATGGTAGTTTTCAAAATTTTTGAAGTGAGACTGCAATCATCTCTGCTATATTCTTCTTGAAATTCCAAAGAAAGCACAGAGAAAAGTTTCAACAATGTTTTTGCTTTAGATCCACACAACTATATGTGCGTGCATCACATATATGCATGTATGTACCAAAGGAGTCCCTGACTTCAAAATTAAAAATCTCTAAAACAAAGATCAATTGAGGAATACAACAAGCGATATATATATATATATATAAAGTTTCCAGATAATAATTTACAAAACCTGCAAACATATGGGGCTGTATGCTGGATCCTTATGACTGGATTTTGAATGGAAACCTATCTAGGCTGTTTCTCAGTATTTTCTCCACGCTGGAATGCATTAAACCAGTCTCTGCTACAATTCTTTGGATGGGATTCCCTGGATTTTGCTGAATAATTTCAGAAACGGTTGTGACATTTTCAGGAATAATTTTATTTTGCCTGCAACCAAAACTCCATACCAAATCATCAGCCACACTTGCGTGTCTTTTCGACATTGAGCGAAGAGCTTGTGAATTGTTTTCACATAGCATCCTTTGGGAGTATTCAGTTGTGTTGAAAACTTGCCTTGTTGCCATAGGACTATGATCTAGCTTCTGGTATTTCTGGTACCAGACACACATGTTATGTTGTTCAATGGTATTTCAACCTCTTCCTTCCATGTGCTAACCTCCTTTCATGTTTCAAGGGTAGAACTGATTGCTGTTACAAAACCATAACCATAACCTAAGCCTATCTGATTGGTATGTGGCCCTAATAAGGGCCTTTACCAATACATAGTTATTCATGCTCTAACGAGGGATCCTAATAAAGTTCATATCCATTAAAAAATGGAATCCTTGAGAGAAGTGACAGGCTCCTGTGGTGCCATCTATCGTGGGAACTGGTAATTCCTCATTTTCTCGTATGTCTGCAGCTGGTAGCATGTCACCATCTATTGTCGAGAGTAGGAAGTGTACTTGAAAGTAAGAATTAGGGTTAGTTGCTCTGTATTTTGTCGCCATTTGGTGCTCGTTTCGAGAACTGCATTATTTAGCTTCGGCAAAGTTTATTATCGTCATGGCTGCTTGAAATCCTACTTTTAACGTCTCCTGCTGCTGTTTTAGCTGACTGTATTTTTCCTATTATTGAAATGATTGACTTTAAAAAGTTAGAAATGTTCTCGTCTTGTAGCCAGGCTACTGCTTCATTGAAATCATCTGGTGGGGATTTTATCTTGCTTTGGAGCTTTTGACTGTAAGAGATTTTTGGTAATTTCTTCTTTTCGGAGTCTGCTTCTTTTCTCATCGTCTCAGGGAAATTGTCGCCGTTGAGTCCCGGAGCTTTTGGTGGTGGTTTCTGAACTTTCTTTTCAAATCGCTTTCTGTATTCGCTACAATCACAGTAGCTAATCATGTGGTTTTCATGACAAAAAATCCATTTGGGTTTTTCTTGTTTCTTTAACTGACACTGGTTACTTTGGTGATTTTCTCTGCATTTGTAAGACTGAATGGGTTGCTTCCTAAGTGAAAATTTTTCTATTGTAACAATGAAGCTGAATACATTACTTAAATTGTGAATTAATTATCCATCTTCATTTCTTTTTAGTTCCAGCAGGAATATGTGGAGTTTTTCAAGATTTCCTTTATAGTTATGGGTAAACTCCTTTACCTTTTGAATGGGTTATTTGCGATTTTCAAGATCATTGAAGATTGCTATTTCCTTAACTGACGCTGGAAGGTCTTTGAGAATTACTCTCAGTAGTTTTCCATTATGTGGTTGAAATGAGTGAAACTTCACATTTTGTTGGAGCAGGAGCTTGCACATATTTTTATAATATTCCGTCGTTTTGGTATATACAAAAATTTACTTTGCTTTTAATGCAGATTCATATTCACTTTTAAAATTTTTCTTAAAAACTTCGTCCATCTCCATCCAATCAATTTCGTTGTGCGGCAGCACAATAGGTGGGGGTGGTTCTTCGCTGTTTGCTCCTCATTCCTTCTCTTCTGGCTGATTTTGCAAGGTCTGAAATCTGTTAAATTGTTTCGGCTTCCATCGGCTTAAGGCTTCCATCGGCTTCCATCGGAGTGGTTGTAATAATACCACTTTATCCTCTTTAAGTTTCTTAAACTGTTAAAAATATCAACCACATATCAGAAGTCTTATGTATTGACTGAAATATTTTATTGAGAAGAATGATATATTATGCACAGTTGTTAGACATTTTTCAAAATAATCTGGGTTGAAAAATAAGTATTTAAGTTGAAAAACAAGTAAGTAAGTATAGTTATGCTGCTTAGTGAAAGCTAACAGGTTGCCCTTCAGGAATATAATTTTCCAATTTTTATCATCCCTATAGTTCTATTTTTGGTTGCACCTATAATTCTACAGCAGCATTTATATTTTTTTAGACTTTTTTATTCCTTTTTTAATGGATTCAGTACCTAGTCACTGCTGTTTGTTAAACACCTTAGGCATTATTACTGATTGTGAAATCACAAATTAAAGTAACAAATGTCACTTTCATTTTAGTTAGCAGATCTTTTTGTTTTAAATTTTTGGCATCTAACTGCTAATTTATATAAATAAAATAAATAAGAAATGTTTGCATTAAATATTGACAATTAAATTCACATGTCTAAAATTATGTTAGCATGTGCATTTTTATTAGAGCTTTTGTAAATGGTCAATTAGTTTCATCAGCAAGAGCAGTATTTGGATTTTATATTAGTAGTCTAACATAGTTTTCAGAGTATGAATTGAATCTTTAGTTTAATTATAGGTGCCAATCTGTAATCTTCAAGATGCAATTCTTTTTATATCTGAAATATTTGCATATATATTAATTGAGAAGTAATGAAATCATAGTGCATATTATTTGAGTTGATTCGGCAGTTTAAGGATTCTTCACATTTTAATTTTTAATTTTCTTAGTAATTAATTATAAATTACTGTTATATCATGTAAATGTAAAATTATTGTTTAACATATTAGAATATGTATTTTCTCTGTATATTCATATAATTATAACTGTTAAATAATTTTCAACGTAGGTGATATCTGCTGGTTCTGAACCATATATAAATCATTGGAGTTTAGATGGTAACTTGCAGATTGAAGTGCCTGTTGCTGCTACAACAGTGTTAACTTTAGGCATAAATTCTAGCCCTACGCAACAGGTAATTTATTAAATGCAGTCTTGAGTATGTAGCTTGCCATATAAGGAAATGTAGTTATGATCACTAAAGTTTTATTGTACTGTCAGATAGAATGCATAATCTAACATGATTTCACTCCATTTTTCATCGTCTGGCATGACTTTTATACGTGAAAAACCACTTTAATAACCATTTTGTAAATATTTCTATGTGTTCTTATTAATTTTCCTTCTTTTTCCCCATATTCATATTATATGATCTCCCTTCCCAACTAGAAAAAATGCGGTCATGATTTGTATATTCAGAATTATTGTGTTCAGCCATTAATATGAATTTTGTTGACTATCTGCTGATTTTCCAATGGAATTTCTTTCTAAGCATTTTGAATTTATTGCGGGCCACAATGTGCAAACAAAAATTGCAACGATTATCAATCAGATAATACTAATGAGTAATCATGTCATTTTTAAGACAAATTTCATTAATAAAATTCATTAAGTTAATAATTTAATGAAAGTCCTTTATGCTGATAATTTTGTTCAGAGTTCTAACAAAATATTTGGTTACCGAAATTTTAATGTAGAATTGTTACTGTAAGCATGTATTATTTTTAATATCTGAAAAATATTATTTTGAAAATGATAATTCTTTTTTATTAGGTTCTTAGTGCTGCAGGAAGCAGTTATAAAATTGATGTCTGCACTGATTTTAGATATAAAGACTTCTCTCTGTTTTTCTGTGATAGTTAATTGTTTTTGTAAATATGCATGATATTCATATTTTTTGTAAATTTATTAATAAAAAAATATGAGAAATGTTGTTTTCCTTTATTCCCCCCCCCTTAAGGAATATAATTTTCCTTTACTCTTTTTATCCCCTTAAGGGATATAATTTTCCTTTATTGTATAATGTATTAAATGCCAAATGCTGCTAGAAAACAGTTTGATTTGCATTACTGTCTTGAAATGTGTAATATTTCTGAATTACATTTTAATATGTAATTCAGAAAGCCTATTTATCATGAAATTTTAATGCATTATTAATTATTTATTTTATTTTCTGTAATACAATATTTCAATATTATAAGCAAATATTAAAAAAAAAAAAAAAAAACACTTATGAGATTTAAGCCAAAGTAGCAGGTTAAAATAATTTCTTTTCTTCCATAAATTTATTTTTACTCTTGAATCAATTTGATACTTTTTTTACTCTTAAAATTTTTTACTCAAGATATTCCTCCCCTTTTTCTTACTAATTTAACTTCTTAAAAACTGGGAGGGGGAAAATACTTAGTATATGCTATTTTTGAAGAGACAATTTAAATGATGGGCATAGCACTTTAAAGAGCACACATTAAAGACATGCTAATATCATTATAGTATGTATTTCAAAGGACTTAATGTGCTTTTTAGTTACACAAAGTATTTTTCTATTTGCACCCATTTTTTATATTGTTACTATGAATCAGAAGTTTTAAATCAAATGCTGCAAAATTTAGAGGGTATATTATGCAAGTAAATAAGATAAATATTTCATAGTGTTTATACAGAAAAAGTATTTTGCTGAGTTTTAGCAAGTGTGCATCAGAGTTTAAGAGTGTAAGCATTAAAGTATAGCTAAGTGAATTATGCCTGTATAATCAGTTACTCCAGAGCCATTCCTAGCAGGGGTGCAGGACATAAAAGTACATGGGTAGCCAAAATCAAGTTTATCATACCAACAATATAGTGAAAGTGCAGTCAACGGTAATTATTTTAGCTTCACTGAATTGAAGATATGCAGATCTGCAGGATGTTGCATCATAAGTTGATGTATTTCAAAATAAAGCTACAATTTTTAACCAAATTAAATGAAACTTGGTATCTAATATTTATGAAATGTAGAATATTGTGTTTTTTTAGGGGAATAATTTGTTTTATCGCAAAAGTGTAATATGGCACCCCTTACAACATACATAATTTTGGGAGTCATGTAGTTGTATTTGTTTGACCTTGTTGCGCAGGCTGTCTTATCACTATCGAACTTCATAGTTCTTAACTTGCAATTCTGTGGGTTCACTTCCAAACAAATGGGCTGGTTGCAGGGGCATTTTTGTGGGTTTCCCTATGTCCCAAGATGGCTATGAGCCATTTTCTCTTAAAAAGTCTTCCACAAAGGCATTCCTTTCCTTAGGCAGATAGCCCTCGAGTGATAATGAAACTACCAACATGCCCATGTATGTTTATGAGTGCATATATGTTATTTGTTAAGGTACAGATATTTTCTTTCATAAAGCCCCTATCACACACATACAAAAATATTAGAAAACTTTAAATTGAGGCTTAGTTGTGGCCAAAGCATTTTAAAATTTATAGCAGTCTTAAAAGCAACTGCATTTCGCCATTACCAACACTACACTTCTTTGGCATTATGTGTTCTTCCATGAATAATTTTGTACAAGATAAGGCAAATGAAACCAATTTGGGAAGAAGAAGGAACTTATATCATTTACCTTTGAAATCAATCAAGCTGTAGTTCTAAACCTTTAGTATTTCTTCCTTCCAAAGTTGTTGTTTTTTTTTTTTTTTTTTTTTTTTTTTTTTATTATTATTTATTTACGTGGTACATTTCAAGTAATACATAAAGTTTTTTTTTTTTTTTTTTTTTTTTTTTTAATATGAATTTCCTATACTTTTTTTTTTTTTTTAATCTGTGCAGATGCAACAAAAAATAATGCACTAAAATACTATACAGTCAAATACCGAAAATCCGCCGACCTGAAATCCGTGTTGCCTCTCAAAATATAAACATTTAGTTTATAGGTTCCAGAAACCGCAACATGGAGTACAAATATTGAAGAAAAAATACTTACTGGATAATGATGTCATAATTACCAAATAATAATGAGTCATAACAGAAATACCAAATTATTGACATCATGATAAAGAGTTTTTTTCCCTCCAATCTGCATCGAGGTAAAAAAAGCAGACGATTAACTCAACTCTTCTTTCAAGTTCACGCTTCACGTTGTTGTACTTTCTGAGTTTTGTTATTTCATGAGATTGTTTAGTAATGTCGTTTTTTTTTTATCTGGATATTTTGAGGATATATTAAGAATATTTTAAATTTCAGCACTTTTTAATACAATGACAGATAATGACACACTTGTAATTTTACTGCTTGCAACGTTGAAAAATGTAAACGCGTTGCATTGACAGTAATGAAAGAAGTGGAAATTCTGCTAAAGATGCAGGCAGGTGCTACTGCTCGGTTTATAGCAGAATCGTATGGAATTGCCACAGGGACTGTGTATGATATATGGAACAATAAAGAAAAGTTGTTCAAATTTTACAGCAACAGTGATTCTAACATTGGAATCCGAAACCAGAAATCTTTACATGAGGCGAAATTGGCAAACCTCGATGCTGTCTTGTACGAGTGGTTCAGGCAGCGGCAGAATGATGGGGTACCTATTTCAGGCCCGCGCCAAGCCTAACCTGTACTCCTGAGAGAAAAGGGGAAGCTGATTTATGCTGATTTAAAAATAGAGGAGCCTAATGTAAATGAACAGTATAATATAATCAGTTTATATATGTAATAATAGTCTAATGCATATAATTAATTAATGTATATAATAATTTAATTAAATGTTTCTAATACGCATTATTTATTTTGCACTTTTTGTCTGAATATTATCTTTTCTGTCTTGAAATCCACAAAATCCTAAAATCCGCACAACCTCTGGTCCCAAGTGTTGTAGATTTCTGGACTTCTACTGTACTTAAAATTTTTATGCGTTGAAATTTTGTATTATGGTAATATAAATAAGGAAACTTTTATTGATTTTGATGTACTTGCATGATGCTTAGATTTAATTATTTCAGCCCTTTTATGTAATATGCTTTTAAGGATGGCTTAATTGTTCATTTCCTTTAAATTTGTTAACATTTGAATCTAACAGTTTGAGGTCAAACAAATCTCCACTATGGGAGAATCCTTGAATGGAATTTTATGTAAAAATATTTTTAAGCCTAATTAATATAGTGACTTGTTTCCTTTCCAATTAGAGACCAAATAGCCATTAGTCTACTAACAAAATCATTCTCCAATATGCTGCTCGTGGAATTCTCTGTTTCCTAAGGGAAAAAATGGGTAACTGAACCACAGTTCAAATTCATGAAATCAGTTATATGGTCATTCCTTTCGAGTGATTAAATTTTTTATAAAAATTTTCTGGGTTTTCTGTAGCTTAAATTAGGACACTTCTTATTTCCATTCTTCTCAAGCTTTTCAACCAAGCATAAAATGATGTTTTTTACTAAAAAATTTGAAATATGTGTGATTTATAAAATTATTTGTTAGTTTTGATTTTTAAAATGTTTGTTTATTATCTATTTATTTTGAAAGACATATAATTAATGTAATACATTTTTATTATTATTTTAGTCTTAACTTACCATATGCCAGCCTGTATATAACACCAAAATAACTGGTGAAGTAGCAGCAATGCTACTAAAGAATTCTGAAATATTTAACTGATTTCATTATAATAATTAAGTTGATATTACAAATTACTATAAATATTTTCATGTGAACAATACTGTGCTGATCAAAATTTGCTAAGCAAAATGTATGGCTCAAAAGATGGTGGGAAAAACAATGGAATTCTTATCAAAGTATTTTAAAAATGACTGTATTCTTATTTTGAAGATAATTACTATAAATCACTTTTCAAAGCGATGAAAAATACTGAATTCTGATTAGTCAAATTAAGAATTCACTGTAAGTGCATTTGATTATCTGGATTTTTCATTAATTGTCTCTAGTTGTAGCATTGAAATAGCGTGTTTTTCAAAATGTGCATAACAGCATATTTTTCTGAGTCTGCTTCGGACATGATAAAATAATGATTTGCTGGTTATTAAACATATATGTAGAATCTTATTTGAGTTGGAAGGATGGAATTCAGCAAGAGTAGATGCAATAAGAATGATTTAAAACTCTTAGAATAGTCTCATTTTATGTGTACCCATAAAATATAGTTTTCCTTGCCTTGTATTTTATATTCCAATTCATTTCTTAATGAAGAAATTCCATTAGTACAAGGTGATCCAAAAGTCACATATCAAATTTTCAAGATGTGTAGAAATTCCAAAGTCTCTATTAATGGCAGATTGTTTCAATGGACAACACTCCTATACTGTTTATTAGTAGTATAGTACTTGAAAACTCAACTATAGTTCATGTTGTTAGTTTTAAAAACCGTTTGTTTGGTTGCAAAATGAAGAGGAAGTTTAATGATTGAGCTTTGTTTCACAGCATAAATTTTGTTCAGATGCCATCCTTCTCACATTAGTTGTTGATGATACCAAAAAATGCCTCAGGGCCAGCTGGGATTGAGATGGCAACTGCTAGTGCATCTTCTTAAGTACTGGTACTTTATGTTTGTAGAATGAACCATCTTATATGGTGTCACTTACAAAGAATGAAAAACTGAATCAACATCTAAAACTCATCATTATCTCAATCCGACATCCATTCCAACTGTGTATCTGCGAGGCTTATCTCATAACTTCAGCAGCAGCCCTTTAAGTTTGAGAAGGAATACCACCACTAGATCTCAGAGTTGAGCGGGAAGCTTTTCTGGTAATATTTCAAGGCTAAAACAAAGTTGGATAGTGTGGCATACAGAATATAATGTAAATGACTTCAAGCACTACAGAGGTTACCTTCATATACTATCCAATGCAATTAAATATTGATGCAGTAATCCACATCGATTCGCATTACATAACCTCAACTTCACAAGTGCATTGTACAGATGTCTCAATCAGAC